CAAAATAAATGCCAAAAATGAAAAAAAAATAATAGTAAAATTTGTCATTAAAGGGCAATAACTCCTATAATAAATCGCCTGACAGTTTTGTCGTCATGAAAAATTGGTAGAGCTCAACATTCTGAAAATTTTTGCGCTTGTCAAATTTTCTCTATAAATAATGGTTTTCAAAATAATAGACAAATAAAATTGAGAATGGAAATGGGGAATGTGTCAAAGAGACAACAACCCGACCACAGAACAGACAACAGCAGAAGGCCACCAACAGGTCTTCAATGCAGCGAGAAATTCCCGCACCCGGAGGCGTCCTTCAGCTGGCCCCTAAACAAATATATATACTAGTTCAGTGATAATGAACGCCATACTAAACTCCAAATTGTACACAAGAAACTAAAATTAAAAATAATACAAGACTAACAAAGGCTAGAGGCTCCTGACTTGGGACAGGCGCAAAAATGCGGCGGGGTTAAACATGTTTATGAGATCTCAACCCTCCCCCTATACCTCTAGCCAATGTAGAAAAGTAAACGCATAACAATACGCACATTAAAATTCAGTTCAAGAGAAGTCCGAGTCTGATGTCAGAAGATGTAACCAAAGAAAATAAACAAAATGACAATAATACATAAATAACAACAGACTACTAGCAGTTAACTGACATGCCAGCTCCAGACTTCAATTAAACTGATTGAAAGATTATGTCTTCATCATATGAATATCAGGCACAATCCTTCCCGTTAGGGGTTTAGTATCATACCATCATAACATATATGAGAAGAACATAACCAGTGTCATGCCAACAACTGGTTTTTAAATAAATGTGTTTAGTGCAGATGCAAAGACCCTATAAGTGAATCAATATCAACGCCAAAATATGCAATCTTTAATGACCTGACAACAGTATCGTAACTATATCCCTTCTTAATAAGTCTATTTAAAGGTTTTGTTAGTTTCAGAGGTGAATACTGACATTTTTGTGCTTTATAAAGAATATTTCCATAAAAAATTGGATGTGAAATACCTGAACGTATAAGAAGTCTGCATGTTGAGCTATATTTACGAATGATGTCCTTATACCGATGATAAAATTTAGTAAATGTTTTGAAAAACTTGCATTTGACCCCTATGTTCTATTTTTAGACATGTCGGCAAATCTTGGTTAGTAGACGGGGTCATCGGACACATTTTTAAAACTAGATACCCTAACGATGATTGTGGCCAAGTTTGGTCAAATTTGGTCCAGAAGTTTTAGAGAAGATTTTTGTAAAAGTTAACGACGACGACGACGGACGCAAAATGATGAGAAAAACTCACTTGGTCCTTTGGGCCAGTTGAGCCAAAAACACGGATATTCCATAGTAATAATAATAATAATAATATAATAATATTCCATTCAATAAAATATCAAGCATATGAGTTAATACAATACTCAATATATACGATACATAAAGACAATACTAGCACATACTTTGTAAAATATAATGGCATTTTATGAGTGTACGGTATCCTTAAGTGCATGGAAAAGATTTGCTGATATTTTATCAGGGATAACCCATGAAAGCTCTAGAGCTTGTTTCCAATGGGGTCCTTTCATGTAAGCGGCTTATAGTTTCGACATACAAAAAATGATAACACACAAATTAATATGACATAAAAACTCCATTTAAAAATAATTTAAATAAAAAATAAGTTTAATAATATAAAAAGAAGTCTGATGAAGCCGCACTATAACTTTTGGTCAAGTACTCTTTGACGCTAATTTTGAAATCCTGTATTTTCTTTATTTTTTTAGCATTATTTGGCAACATATTCCAATCTTGTATGCCATTAAAATAAAATGTATCTTTTTGTTGACTCTTTACTGGTGGAACCCAGAAGTTATATTCACTATTTCGTGTGAAATGATGATGAAAATGTCTCACCTTTGTAAAATTTGTATACATAAAATTAGGACAATGGTGGTAATAAATATTATGAACATGGTTTAATCTCAATTGTTTAACACGATTTTCAATATTAACATAACCAGTACTATTCAATACATTATGGTCAACTTTTGATCTATATCCAGTATTTTTTTTAAATCTAAAAAAATTGTTTTGTAATACTTGTAACTTATCTTTATATTTTTTGCTGACACCAGCATACCATGCCGAACAGGCATAGTCAAAATGACATTGAATCTAGAGCTGTAACTAACGTCTTTCTAGATTGTTCCGATAAACATTTGGCCTGTCTGTATAGGAACTTCAATCTTGAATTTATCTTTTGAATAATATTATTTAAAAAAATTTCTCCAGAAAGAGAATTATCAATATTCAGGCCTAAATATTTCACACAAATTTGCGATGAAATTGTGTGATTATTACAAGTAACGCCAAAGTTACGAATTTTAGACAATTTACGTGTTGACCCAAACAGTATAGTTTCTGTTTTCCCCAAATGAAGTGATAATTTATTATCGATCAGCCATTTGCTGCAAGATTCAAGTTCCTTACCCAGTGTCTCAGATATAACTTCTGGGTTCTTATGAGAGTATAGTATGGTACTATCGTTAGCATATAATAAAATTTTGCAGTCTTTACTTATACTTATAGACATGTCATTAGCATAATAAAAGAATAGTAGTGGTCCTAAAATACTCCCTTGTGGTACTCCACATGTAATATATCTTAAATCAGATTCAGTACCATTAATACTAACTTTTTGTTGTCTATTACATAAATATGATTCAAACCATTTAGTACATTTGACAACCATTATTTGTAGTTTGTTACACAATATATGATGGCTGACCGTGTCAACGGCTTTTTGCAAATCTAACATTATCATTCCAGTATAGAGTCCCTTAGCAGTTTCATTTTTAATATGATCTAACAAATGAATAAGACATGTATCTGTGGAATAAGCAGATCTGAAACCAGATTGTAAATTATAAAGTAGATCATTTTCCACCAGATATTTCTCAAGTTGTGAATATACTGATCTTTCAACAATTTTAGAAACAACTACTAAAATTCTAACTGGTCGATAATTTCCGACATCCAGCCTACTATTTTTCTTATATATAGGACACACTCTAGCTGTTTTCATCTCATCAGGTACTATGCCTGAAGTTATCGACAAATTAACTATATATGTAATTGGCTTTGCTAAAATACTCGAGCCATCTCTTAAAAACCTTGATGATATTCCATCTAATCCAGTACTTTTACTTGGAACTGTTTAAAAATATATTCTTCAGTCACAGGTTTTAATTTAAAACTCAAATCGTTACACCTAACAGTGTTATAAAAGATGTTCATTATTTGTTTTTTTAATACATATTCAAAAGCTGATCTCTTTTCTGAATTAGTTCAATAATTTCAGAAGTCAACCAAAGGCTCTGTATGTTTTTTTTTATCTTGATATCTCTTTTAGGAGCTACTTCATTTAAAATTGAAGTAAAAATATTTTTGAAATTTACCCAAGTTCCATTTACTTCTCTACATAAATATAATTCAGACCAATCAACATCATTTAGTTTTTGACAGAAATCATCTTTAGTGTAATTTTTGGTAGATCTTATTTCGATTAAATTTTCTCCAGTATCTGCGTTTGTTTTTCTCTCAAATTTTCTAGTAAAATATGTCATAAAATGATCACTTAAACCAATTGGAATAACACCTGACTGAATGACTCTGTCTTCAGAATTTACAATTACATGATCTAATAATGTTAATAGCGATTGACAAATCATGATGACGTTCGTAAAACTTCGTAAGGATGACTTCAACTTAACCATTACTTTAGGACTGAGCCCTTGGTTCAATAGGACTCAATAGCTTCCTTTTAGACAGCACTCTTCATTGGAAACCATTGTAGGAAATGCAAGCTCATGGATATTATATTAACTGGGAGCTATAATTCTCCATATGAAGTACGTGCTGGAATATTTTTACATTGGAAAGGAAAGTTCACAACTGGCCATCTAAACTTATGTCGTAAAGTTCACTTCTCAGATTATACTCTCGTCGTCTGTAGGCCAAGATGTAAAGTAGACTTAATCGTATCTGTGGTATCCTCAAGTTCGATAGGATCAGAGACATATCACACAACTCGCCGAACTATAGCATATTAACGCGGCCACTAATGAACCCTCGCAAGATCTTATGTGGTCATTAAAAATACTAAAAGTACTTAAAACACTGAATAAATTCATAACAAGAGATAAACTAAAAGCATCATAGCGGCTTCAAACTGAAATTGCTAGCTTCTTTTATATTTTTTGTAAGAAATATGTCTCGTGTGCATGAAAAACTTCTCAACTTTTATGTTGTCACGACTTGTAAAAAAGCAAAGAAAAAAATTAACAACAAAAACTTTAAAATAAAAGTATAATATTTTAGAAGTTAGTCTTTGATCTTTTTCCTTTTCCTATTTTATAAAGATTTGTTTGCCAAAAAGTGGGTCAAAACATAATTACACCCCTTTTTTAAGACCACACACTTTAGAAATTGAAGACAATAATCCCACTTGCCCGTGGCTCCTAAGTTTCCTGATAGAGAAGGGTCTATATGATATTGTGAGTCAGAGACAATGGGTTTATCTGATATTCTTTCATTTTAAATTGACTTGTGGTTAAAAAACAATTTTTCTAATAAAATTACAAGTATTGTCTTAGAATTCCAATAAATGTTGAGCTTTAATTGAAACATGACTATAATGAACACTATTCGAAAAAGATAATTTTACATTCGGCGCTAGTATCGTTGATACAGATTTAAAAAATGCTAGGAAAAACAAAGAGAATAATATTCAAAGTTATTGATTTATGATTCATCATTTGAATTTTTTACCCTTAAGAATACGGGTCGTAGAGCGTATGAATATATCTGCAGTTTCCATTTAATTTCATAATCCTATTTAATCAAGCGAAATTATGTATTGGTGCACGTTATCTAAAAATAAAATTCGTCGATTTTGTTAAAATTGTATTCATACAGAGTATGACTATTTTTACTCGCGTATTAATCACGCACTGACTATGCAAACAGGCTGAATCATATTCCCACGGACGCTTATGACAATTGTGGACAGTTTGGAACCTATTTTCTGCATTTATGTTGTTTTTACAGATTAATTAGCCTGGATTAAGTGATAATGAAAGCAAAACTTATATTAGTAGTTTTTATACAATCTGTGTACTTATGTTTAACAGGTAGGTCGAGAATAATTATAATGAGGTTGATCGTCTGTTCAGTGACAGGACGATAGTATCATTGTTATGCATAAACACACTGACACTTTTCAAAATACCATTTGGCATTTTATTGAACAAGATTTTCAGCAGGAAATTGTTTAATGATGAGATAAGATAAATAATTGGTGTTGTATATAGTGATCTGATAATCTAATTAACAAAATTCTGCCTCTCTGATGATTTTTTTTTCAACACTGTTTAAATAGTAATACATTTTTACAGATACAAATGTGCACACAAAATACATGATAGACTATAGAAATATTTAAAAAAAAAAATGAATAAAATACTGTAAAAAGGGTAAAAAAATCAAATATGTTGGCCAGACGGAAATTTATGTGTCACAATTGTAAAAGAAATTATATATGCTTTGAAAAATGACATAATTAATATAATTCATTGATTCTTTATGTAGTCTTCCTTGGATGCCAGTTGCAATCATACCACACCTCCGATATGTTAAATCAGACTTTCGAAGGAATTGCAATCATAGGCTTTTGCATTGAAATACAAAACCCTTGGTATTCAATGCACGAGATAAAAGAAGGGAGTTCTGTACAATATTTTCAATGAAACAATAGCCTGTGATAACAATCAAATATTGTATGCATAATACTGCAGTCAGTAGCATAATTTATTGATTCTTCAAATAATTTTTATATGATTAATATGTCTAGATCTGTAACCATTATTTATTTTTCCTACAGTAAACTTAATTTGTTTAATACATGTACAAGTGATGAATTCAAGCCAGCTTCCAATGTATCTATTCCAACACAACGTGAAATTAGAAGCCTCTAATCAGATGAAATTTAAAATTGCAGATAATATCTTAATGCAATACATATTTGATTATTATACATAAACATGTATGACTCCCATATGAGCTCATTAAATAATTTAATGTGTATACATATGAGCTCATTATTAAACAAATATATACATTTGTGTCTACAAATGCGTGAAACAGTTAAATATTTTGTAAAATTACCTACCCTTATATACAGGTACATGTAAATGCATTTTTAACCAGTTTAATGAGATATTGGGCATAATTTACATACTACATGTACATGTAGTTTATTGAATATCAGCTTGTTGTTTATAGCAGGAGCGTAATAGCCGAAAACTGAATATATATGTATATTCCAAGCAGAACAAGGTGAAACATTTGTTTGGACAATTTTAATCTAAAAGATTATATATATTTCAATCGAAGGGGTGGTGGCATACTCTCTCTATGCAGATATGGTACTTGGTTTGAAATTTTCTTTTCTTTGTAACTGACCGCACTGACTACCAAGACTGCATGTAAATTTTAAAAATTTACTTGTGTTTTCGCAGTTGCAAAAAAATGCAAAAAATGTACAAGGATGATCCGTTACACATGCAATAAATGTTTTACAGAACAGGGTGTTGCAGTTTTACCACAAAAATAAACAATGAATTTGAAGTGAAGTATAAAAATGGCCTCTTTCCAAGTTAGAGATTAAAGGTTTTTTATTTTGAAAAGAGAATAGCTGTTTAGTTACAGATATGAATTTTCCTCTTTTAATGAGATAGTTGAAAAGAGAGTTCTGACAGATGGTGAAAACGTGTTTACAGTAAACTTTCAGGTAATAATGACCTTGTGGTGATTACTTAGCTATAAAATTTTATTAAACTAATTGATATAACTATTTTATGGCCAATGAGTACACATTTACATTACCAAGGACCTTAAATTTATAACTACTTCCTATATTAAGTACATGTTTTCTGCTCTTTGGTTGGGTTGTTGTCTCTTTGACAAATCCCCATTTCCATTCTCAATTTTACATGTATATATGCCATGGTATGCACATTCAGAATTCTTGCATCTTACTTACATGTAGATGTACTCATAATACATGTATAATTTTTAATTCAACTTAACAATTTTACATTCCAATTTTTGGGAATCAAGAACTTTAGCCAAGTTTTCAGAAATGTCATCTGGACGCATCAAAGTAAGATCCTTCAAGTACATGCATCCTTGCGCCAATGATTTGTTATGATTGTCTGTAATAAGTATTTATTAAATAACTGCACTCCAGATGTCATTTACATGCACATCTGCACAGATGTGCACTGCTCTCATTTGATGAGCTAGTCTACATTTTTTGCATATAAATTATATGATAAAGAATAGGGAAAGAAAATATAAAAAACCATGAAGGATATAACTGGTAATGAATAATTAGTAATAAAGTAGAGAATGTTTTTAGATTGCTAAAAACTTATGCATTTTGTACATTCATGTACTGTGTATTTTAAATTTTAATGCTTCCATGACAAAGTTATATTTACATACAAATGTAGTTGAATAACTCACAAATCTTAGAAATAGTCACAAGAAGCCAGAGTGAGGGAGTCATTTTAATTTTACAGAATTAAGGGACATCATTTTAATACCATGGGGGAGGGAGTAAATCAAAATTAAGCAATCATTGACCATGTTTGACCTGGCTTCAATTTTCACTTGTATCCCAAAGTAAAACATTGGTTTAAAACCTAGAAAGTACATTTGTAATTACATTTGGAATTGGTGACATTTATACTTTCGCACATTTTAATTTTAGTGCAGAGTTTTAATGATTTTTTTTGGTATATTGAATCACTAATTAGGCGCTGTTTGGCTTGTAAGATTAATATGTAAAGAGTCATTTGAAAATGTATTTATCTCACCTGACAAAGTCATAGGGTACATGTATAAAACTGTGAAAGATTCATTTAATTGACGCTGACAGTTGTATTGTATAGAAGCCAGATCACAGTGATAAATTCTCTTCTAATACATTGTAAAAGTGTCCTGAGTCTCAGTTAATTAATGAGCCACAATTTTTTATTGGTTAAAGGGAAATATATATACATGTACATCTATACATGTTTATATATAAAGATTAAAATTTTTATAAATTTTAAATTAATTATACTTTAACCATAGCTTCTTCATAAGGGGGAATGGGGACTACTCTGAATCCACAACCTTTTTAAATTAATTAAAATTGTACATGTATCTGGCATTGGTGCTTAATCACACATGTCTTTGATCTCCTTCACTTCCCCCTAAATAAGGTGTGCCCTTGAACTCTGTGAAGTCTCCCTACCATGTCATAACTTCTCATTGTTTGGTAAGCTATCTTTGAAATGTGGGAATCATGACCACACCATGGTAAGCAGTTAAAAAAGGGATCATTTTAAAGAATAAGAATCATAAATTTATAATTCATTTCTTTGTGAATTTATGATTTTAGATTAAAAAAAAAATTCATCCCTTTATTTTTTTATTACTGGTACATGTACATGATGTACATGTACAGGAAGGCTGGTTCACATGATTAACTTATTCACAACAATCTCTTTGATAAAGGTTAACTCCTGATTGTTAGAAATCATGCAGATGATCTTGATAAAATTAATAGCTAATATGCATTCATATTAGCTGGATACATGTAGATAGTTGGTTGGGACATTATGAAGCAGTCATGCATTTAATCTCCATGTACATGTATGTATTGTAAATGAAAAGTCCTGTTGTATGGAAATATTTCAGAATTTTGAAACAAAAGATTTATTCAGCTTAAAAGTTTCTATTTCCCCTTTTTTATTTGAGTTCGTTTAAAAGCTACTAGCTACACATGTGTATAGAAAGGGAGGTTTAAACCCTTTTGCTCCTTCACTTGGTCTCCTATTGTCTTGTGCCTACTGAAAAACCATTTTTGAAACATGTTTCTGACTTTCTGAAACTGTTTTGACTATGCATGTACTAGTATGTCTCAGCTGTTACTCAATTTTTTATACGACCGCAAAAAAATTTTGCGGTCATATATTGGTATGACGTCGTCGTTGTCGTCCGAAGACGCATTGGTTTTCGCACTCTAACTTTAGTTTAAGTGAATGGATCTCTTTGAAATTTTACCATAAGGTTCAATACCACAAAAGGAAGGTGGGGATTGATTTTGGGGGTTATGGTTCCAACAGTTAAGGAATTAGGGGCCAAAAAGGGGCCAAAAATAAGCATTTTCTAGTTTCCAGGCAATAACTGTGGAACGGTGTATGGATCTCTCTGAAATAATACTACAAGTTTCCATACCACAAAGGGGTGGTTAGGATTTGCTTTGGGGGGGTTATGGCTCAAACCGTTTAGGAATTAGGGGCAAAAAAGGGGAAAAAACAAGGTTGTCCTGGTTAATGGACAAATACTTTAGTACAAAACATAATTTAAAGCAGTGTAAGGGAGATAAATCAAATACATCATTGAAATTATCTCCCTTACACTGCTTTTAAATTATGTATAAAGTAATGGTTAATGAACAATTAAGATAATTTAAAACAGTGTAAGGGAGGTAATCCAAATACAACGTTTTGGTTACTTCCCTTACACTGCTTTTAAATTATGTTTAAAGAAATGCATATTTATAAAGGAAGACCAGTAAAAATATCTGCAAATGTTGCATCTGTTTTTTTTACAAAAAAATCCATATGAAAGATTTGACACTATATTTTAAATTCTATTATAAAATAGATTAAGTTAGCACTATGGTAAATTTAAATGGGTAATTATGGTTGCAAACTCCATTAGAAATTTTAATTGAGATTATGACCATATCTTGAGGGAAAGAATATTTTGGGGGGAAAAAGGGGGGGGGGGGGGGTAAAAAGAAATTGTGGGGGGTCAATTTTTTCTCATTTCAGATTTCAGAAATTAAAAAGAATTATTCTTCAAATATTATTTTTTTTTCAAATTTCAAATATTGAAAAATTTCAAGATTAGAAGTAATCTTTAATTGCACAGTATGGCGCATTAGATTTGTAAAATCTTTGACCACATTTATTTATTTGTTATGTCGAATCTAACCTTGTATTTAGATTTTTAATATTGGGTCCAGTTTTCAAATTGGTCTACATTAAGGTCCAAAGGGTCCAAAATTAAACTT